CCAGTTTTACAGAATCATGTGGGCTGTCCAAGATCTCTTGCTTTAACTTTGCAACAATGTGGGACTTTCACATTTTTGATAGCAGGTAATTCTGGGGGCTCTTCCTAGAATGCTTGCTCAGTTCTGATGTGGATATTTGCATTCCCCAGGCTTCAGGCTGATCAGTGCCATTTTATATTTTATTAAATGCTTATGACATGCTACAAGTTGGAATATTAAGTTGCACCAAAATCTTTGTATATATATATTTTATGTACCCTTAAATCTCAAAAATAAATTACCTTTTACAAAACTATTCCAAAACTATTTTTCAAAATATATGTGGGATGGATTCTGCATACTTCCTATAATAATTCAGAAAGAAATAACTAGGCTTTAGATGCAGTTCTTGTTAATAGGATTTCATGACCAGCAGAGAACAATATTCGATGGTCATCTGATTAGTCAGACTTTTCAGAAAAGCAAGAGGTTATCAAACCAAATACTTTCTGAATAAAGATAGAGAAAAGCATAGGTAAAGATCATAAGTGTGATTAATATTTGTGTCGATATTGCTGCTAGTCTGTGAAAAACATGTAACTTTGAAGTTTAAGCTTAATTAGATTACCTTCCACCTTCTGATTTATGGAACACATCTATTTTCAAAGCTAAGCTAAATACAGAGGAAGAGTTTATTAAGAAATGTGCTTCAGTCACCTGTTGATGACAGCAGTAACTGGGGCCTCACATGGCATGAAACTCATTTGAGTGGCATATTCCTTTTGCATAAATCGTATTCTGCAGATATGAATTTCCATTGAGAAGAAAACACTCAAAAAAATAAATGGTGGCACCTTTTTGCTTTGGTACTTTTTAGCCTGCAACGAGACCTGTGGAACTTGTTCATCTGGCACAAGGTGCATTTCCTGCCAAGAAGGCCTGTTGATGACCAGCAGTGGCCTCTGTGTAATCCCTCAGTACTGCTTGCCCAATCAGTACTATGACAAAGAGAGTAGAGCATGTAGGCCTTGCCATAAGAACTGTCTCCATTGCAAAGGGCCAGGCAACTTTCAGTGTCTCAGCTGCCCAAGTGGTTTGCATCTTCTCAGTAAGTATTTGCCTTGGTTTTTTTTTAATCTCTGTAGATCAGGGCTGTCAAACTCCCGGCACATGGACCAGATGTGTTACGTATTGGCCATGCCCACTCTTGGTTTAGAGAAGGGGGGGGAGTCCTGATACATCTCGTGATGATGTGAGTTTGACACCTCTGCTGTCGATGAACAGCTGCTATTGTTTGATAGCTGGGGTTACACATCTTGTTAAGCAGTAGTTAATTTTAACTCTGCTTTCTTAAACAGCCACAAAAGCTGAGAAACACATAAAATGAAGTCATAAAACATGGTTCACACATTACAGTTACTGGATTCACCCACCACACTAAACAAAAAATAAGGGCTTAAAACCAGCAGTATCAGATCAGTAATGCAGAAGATGGGGTGTTGCCATGCACACCCTTCTGTATGTTTGGTGTCATTTTGTGCATGTTCCTAAGGGGCAGGGTGAATACTCCATCCAGTATTTGTCAATCTTGTTCTTGGCCCAGGACGACTGCTTAGCACAATGTGTGAATCCAAGATCTCAGAATTTCTATAGAGAAAGCGTAAATTGCCATGTCTCAAAGCAATTTCCATTCATAAGCCATGTATATACAACATACTATTGTAAACATGGTTTCCTTAATATATTGAATAGGCACAGTTTACAGGTTCCTACAATGTGTCCAACTATAATAGTTTAGAGATCACATTGAATGAATTCACATAGACACAAATAAACACAGCAACACTCAATAGTATAAACCCAGACACAATATGATGAAGAAATACCCTTCTTTCTATAGCTTCTCCTGATTCTCAAAATCTGCTAGAGAGAAGGGGATTATTTTGTGTGAAGTTGACTTGCACAATTCTAGATTTCATCTTACAAAGGTCCAGTAGTAGAATATCTTATAGAATTAAAGCATTGCTCCTTTCAAGGAATCTGATTATTCACATTCAGAAGAGCAGGTGACAACTCAGTCATTGATCAAATGTAGAAAGGTTGCTTGGAATTTCCCCATGCCCCTACTACAGATTGTATTAAATCTTTGTCATCCCAAACATTAAGTTGTCTTTTGCTATTTTGCTATAGATACAACCTGTGTCAGTTCCTGTCCTGATGGGTACCATGAAGATACTAACTCCCACTGCCACCCTTGTCACAGAACCTGTAAAACCTGCAATGGGCAACACAGCACCCATTGCCTTCTCTGCCCTCCAAACCGGTACAAGCAAGAAGAGCGGTGTGTCCAGAATTGTACAGCTGGGTAAGATCCTGAAAAGGGACAAGTATCATGGAAGAGATGAACAAAATGGCATGGAGTAAGAAAGAGATTCAAAACAGCGAAGAGATTAAGGCTTTGACAGACAGCTATCCAAAAGGGGTTAGAATATCAGCTGAGGACAGGGCTCAGGCAAGCTACATACAAACAATTCTTAAGCTTGGAGGACTNACATCATGGCTCCCCCAGAAGTCCACGGACCAAGGTTGAGAACCACTGACCTATACCATTCTTTTTCAGGCCAATTTCTTTTTGCTGGGACCTGTGGCCACGATTGCCCTCCTCAAACATTTCACAATACAAAGACAAAACAATGCGAGAACTGCACCAAGGACTGCGAAGAATGCATAACAAATCAACACTGTCTGAAATGTTTGTCCAGTACAAACACACCACGCTACTTGCATAGAGGCGAATGCTTACAGGAGTGCCCCATGTATGTACCCATTTATATTCATTCCTGCAAACTCCTAGGTTGTCTTCACATTTCAGTACAGCATTTCCCCTTCACCATTTTCTACATTGCAATTGTAACCTTCTCCTTGGAAAAGGCTATGAGGTCCCTGGGCTTCTTCAGAATGTTTGCAAAGATACATATACATTCCTCTGGCTTTCTCTGGTGGGTTTCCTAGTCAGATTCCCATTCCAACATTCTAAGAATGTGAGCAGAGAACTTATTGAGAATGTATTATAATACAGCAGGAGAGAGAAAAATAGGATAAAGTCAAGAGATCGACTGACAGAAGAAGGCTCTAGTTAACAATGATTTTCATATGCTTAGTTAAAAGAAAGATTGAATATGGATATGAAGCTAATTAGAATTGGAAAAACAGGAAATGGAATTTGAAATTTAACTACCAGTATGTAGAAATAATGAATGTGTAATATCAAAAATGCATAAACTTATGTTAAGATTTAAAACAGATTAGAAAATAGTGACACAGCTGGGTGGATGCCTTGGTTGGAGGTCAGGGTTTCCCTAATGAAGATCCAGAAAGTAGAAGGACAATGAGAATCAGGGTGAACATCAGTGCCTTCAGAAAGAGGGCCCTACAGGATCTAATACTGTTTGCTGAAGCATTTTCCTTTCTTCTTTTTTCAGAGACTTTAGAATCAGATGAGCAACTGGGCAAAGAAAGACTGAGTTATTGGCATTCATTTTAATATTTTATTTCTAAAATATTTTGTTTGCGCAGAGCCTCAGTTTCAGTTCCAAAAAGGGCTTTGAAGTGCATGGGAAAGGAGGATATGAAAAAAAATATGCAAACCCACTTGTCTGCACCTGCTTTAAAGCAGTTGTCTCTTTCTCAGGACTGTTTGGCAGTTACAAAAGGCTGATTGTGCCTAATACATGACTATCTAAAGGTTGTACAATCATTAAAACTGGGATCTAAGGACACCCAGCTGCAATATTGGCCAAGTAGTCCATATTACAATCATAGCCTCATATCCAATAGAGTCTGTCTTCCCAGATCAAAAACACTGAGATGAAAGTTGCTGCTTTGATCCTTTCAAATCACCTGTTAAACTTTCTGAGCAATTGCTTGATTTTGCTTTATTCAGGGTATCAAAAGCTTGAAAAAAACATAATGGAATTAATATTAATTGAACTTATATCTATAAGGAATATAATTGTTTCCAAAGAAAGTGAGAAATACGCAAAAAAAAATGGGGTTCTTCTGGAGGACCTGAGCTTTCATAGTTTAATAAGGAAATACATGGATCTGGTGTTAAGTTAAGCATTTCCTTTGTGTTATGTTCTTCAGTATGGTGGGAATGAAATTGCTTTGCCATTGTTCTTCAAAGAAGAAATTGGTGGTATAATTATCTTGAATGAAATCCAGGATCCTTGGCAAAGGGATTGTGTGAGTCTGGTGGTCTTCAACCATACAGGCTTTTACTTTCAGATAAATTCCGAGGAAACAGACCTTGAGGAAAATCATCCTAAGGACCGTCTATTATTATTTTTTAGATCAAGAAATGTAGGCAAACAAGAAGACTCCAGAATGTTGGAGGAAAATGTCCCAGGAAACAACAACAGCAATATTTTTCACCTTATTGCAATCATAAAGTTAGCTCATAAACTCCAGCAAATTGTATTCTTTAGAATGAGAAAATAAAACAGAACTTCTAAGTTTTACCTTNTTTCTAAGTTCAAAGAAGAGCAAATTAAGTCATTTTTTTCATTGTAACCTCAAACAAATGGTCATAAATTGAGGACTATCTATAAAGACTTGGTACTGCTAGGACTGCATATGCAGAGTGGGTAAAGAGAGAAAACATGGGCACTTTACCAAGATAAAAATAAGTGAAATCCAGGTTTTTAAAAATTAATGGTAACATAAAGTATGAAATAATAAACATTTAAACCATGAAAACCAGAACTCGGGATTCCTTGCAAATGAACAATCTGGGGCCTCTGAAATGAAGGACACAAGACTTCCAATTCATGATATTCCTGCAGCGAACATATAATTGGGGTGATCATTCCCGATGCATTTATTTACGTATATTCAATGTGAGCTTTTTCCTACAGATAAATAAGATTCAAATGTTCTACACAATCCCTAGAAGCTTGTACCCATTAGTGCATTTATAAAATTATCAAAATACAATCAACTGAATTTCCCACTTCATTCTGCATAACATAGTGTACACATTTCCAGACTAGACTTTTCGATTAAATGCACATGTAATTATCATATTTACCAATCCAAATAACATTTAATTAAAGAATTTTTGTTGCATTTACATACAAACATGTATCAAAATGAAAAATATAAGCAGAAAGAAACATAATTTGGTAATAAGCTTTTGGTGTTTTGTTTTTCCGAGCATATAAATGTCCTCGGACAAAAAAATCCCTATATTGACAGAGATGCTATGAAAGCTGCAACGATAGAAACGTTAGGAATGCTAGTTACAGCCTAACGCACATATCTGCATATAGACATATACATTTTATAGCAGCTGATAAGCCATGCATACAGACACAAATACATATATGTGCACAGTTTATTCTCATTATTTGCGGATTTCGTATTTACAATTTCACCTACACATTGAAATGTGTATGTAATGTCAAATGCAGTTTTGCAATCATTTGGAGAGAGGCTCAGAGCAGTGAAAAATGTGTGTCAGCTGACATGCATGTTCCCACTGAGGCTGATAAAGTGATACTTTGCCTTTTTATTTCAACTCCCATACTATAAAAGTACTTTGCTTTTGGGGAATAGAGCAATAGCTCAATATTTAGTAAATCAGCATTTATTACTTTTAGAATGTAACTTCTGTGAATAACAAGAATTGACTGTAGATACATATATGTGTATGTGTGCATACAGATATATAACATATACATACAGGTAGTCCCCGACCTACAACCATTTGTTCAGCAACCATTCGAAATTACAATAGCACTGAATAAAGGGACTTGTGACCTGTGCCTGAAGTTACAGGTATTGCACTGTCCTTGTGGACACCTGACAACTTATCGGTACTTATGACTGCAGGGGCATTGCAACTCCAACTACCAACCTAGCTCCCTCTAATGGGCACTTTCCACAGGTTGACTGCTTTGTACACCACTGTGTATTCAGCCGTTCGTGTATGAGGGGTGGCTGTCTTGCAACTTTGCAAGCATTTAACAGTTGTGTCTTCCAATGTTGACTACAGCTTCTACCTCTGGCTATGCATTGCCCTGCAGCATCAGCCAATTCATCCATTGCCTGTTCAAAGCCTCCTAGGGCCTCTGTTACCCCGAGATACCCCCATGCTCCTTGTGACTCAGTCCACCTAACCACCCATGAGATCGCTTAATGACCATGACTGGGAATGCTACAATTACAGTGGTTAAATGAAGCAGTCATATGATATATCACTTGACAACCACTCTGCTCAATGACTTATTCTGGTCCCAATCATGTTTCTCAATCAAGCCTACCTGGACATATACACAAAGACCCAAATTCATCACAGTTTTTCCCAAGTAAATTAAAGGAGCATTTAATCAAATGAAAGGCTGCTTTGTAACAACAAAGTTGCATCAAAAGTAAAGGAGATTTTGCAAAAATAAAGGTTTGTTACGTTCCAGGTTCAGATGCCTCTCTTAAGATCAAGGCTTTCCATTCTATTCTGTACTATAAAATAGTGAAATAAATAAGCTCTATAAATATCTAGGAATTCTCAATTGAAGGCAGAAAAAATTAAGTTATGCTTTCATTCCCACTGAAATTAATAGCATAATTCATTCACAGAGGGCTTAAATCCTAGTTTAAAGGGATTAAAAAGGCTTCAAATGAATCCAGCTAATGTTTCAAATGAACAATTAAAACCCCCTAGGACAACAATTCAGGCAGTAAAATTACTGATACCATTTTTACTTTTCCATTGGAAATCTTTCACTATAAAAATATCCAGGATGGGCATTATTAATTAAATAAATAGCAATCATTAGAAATATTTAGAAACATTTAGGAAACAAACTTTTGTCTGCAGTTAGACACCACCAACAACATGTGACAGATTGCACTTTCTATTTGTCAAGTTACATTGCCCCCTTTTTTTGAAAAAACAAAAATAGTGTTACTTTTAGAGAATCACTAACCATTTTAATGTAATGCTAACCGAATAACAATCCTAAAGAGCAGAGCAGCCTTCTCTATTAAAAAGAAACCGGCTAAGAGCAGTTCAATTTAAATAACTGCAGTGAAAATAAAGAAAGGGAAATATTTAATGACCATTAGTCATACTGTTGACATTTGCTCTGTGAAAGAAGTTGTCATCTTTAAACTTCTGGTGTTCTGGCAAATCAAGTAGATTTTTAGCTTCATCAATGTCATGTTGAATAGCAGCTATAAGTGCATCTGTAAAGGGGAAAAAATAAAACATTAACGACTTCTAAAGCAGGGTTGGGCATTTGATTTTCTCAAGGGGCCACATGACAAACTAGGATTGTTGCGGAAGGTCACAGAGTTGCCCAATGATGCCACTGCCCAACCCCCAAAGCTGCCACTGCTACCCCATTGCCAATGCCCTGCCCCAACATTGTTATTGTCTCACGCGTCATGGGCAAGACCCAGATCGCCTGTGAATCAAATGAGGCCCACAGGCAGTAAAATTCCAAAGTATATAATATTGATAAATGACTCATTCAAGATGAAACATTTAAAGTATCTGCTGTCTACAAGTTTCTTTCATACCATCTAAATAGAGTGAGAGTGCCTCTATGTTTGTTACTTTTTCTATGGAGAAAAGGTGAGAATTGAGGAAATAGTTAAAAGAATTCAAANGCCACCTCAGCTCTCTGAGGCTGCTGTTGCTGCCGCTGATAGTGGTGATGATGGAGGTGGTGGTGATGACGATGATAATGATCATCATAGTCATGATAACGGTGGCAGTAAGGTAGAAAAGTTGTTTCAAATGACTTGTGGCAAAGCCAGATCTTCTGATCATAGGAAAATGGTAATCTCCGAAATGCTGCCAGACTACAAGGAGTTTAAAGAGGGCACTATGGGAAATTCTCTGCCAATATGTAGATGGGGAAATGGGGAGAATGCAAGTATCGGAGAGAAAATTGGCACAGAGATAGTGTGCAGCATCTTCAGCCACATTATGCAATATGTAGAGAACAGGCTATGTGGGTGGGTTTTTCCCACGACCATTAATATATGACAAATGTGTTTGTAATTCTTTTTTAGATGAGTGTATATTGGTCATTCCTCATTTGCCAGAGAATATCAGAGGCAAAGCTGTGGCTTTGACAGTGGCATTATTCATTTTGTTGAGTGTCTTCATTGGGGCCTCTGTTTTCATATGGAGAAGACTGCGAGCCAGGCCTATCTCTGTTTACCAGGCTGGATATAAAAAGTTGGCAGACAATGCAAAGGCCCTCAGTTCTTTCAAGAGCAATCACTACCAGAGCACCAGCTACCCAGAAAATCAAGTGAATGAATACAAGGATCGGGAGGATGATGATGATGACGACGATGAAGATGACAACGATATTGTCTATATGAGCCGTGATGGCACTGTCTATCGTAAATTTAAATATGGACTTCTGGAAGAGGATGACATAGATGAGCTGGAATATGATGATGAAAGTTACTCCTTTACATAACCTAGTGTTTGTACAAGTGTCATTGCACTTGTAATGCTTTGCTGAATAAGTTACCAGAAGATGTATGTAAATTTAGTACAAGTTCAGAATCTCACTTAAATGATAAAAAATAACCACTTAATGTATATCTGCAAATACTGTGGTATTGTGTTTCCTCACTATTTGGTTGAACAACGCAATCATCCTTCCATCATACGCAAACCATGGTAATCACTTTTAGTAAATGGTTGTCTGTATTCACTCATTCATGTTTCAAGTATGTTTCTTCCTGCATTTTTATATTAAAATTATATCATTCAAATCATGAAGCACTTGTCTGAGACAAAATGTTTCTAATAAAATTGAAATTTCTTGAATTAAATTGCCCACCACTTTTCAAACATTGGACAAAATAGCACCATTGATGCAGGGCTGTTTTAACTTCCTCTTGTGTTGCGTACCAATACAGTGATGAAATAAGGAATAATATGGGTTCAGACTATGTAGAACTGAAAAATGAATAAATGCAACAGCCTAACCCATGAATATGAGCAACTGAATGTAATAAAAGGAAAAAGCTGCCTATTATGTGGAGAGTGTCATTTGTTCACCTCACTGGTTTGGTAATTCTCAAAGAAATGTTTGGGGTTATTATATAATCCAGTCTTCCGAAACTTCTTCCCATGGCAAAATATATATTTAGAATAGAATAGAATAGAATTCTTTATTGGCCAAGTATGATTGGACACACAAGGAATTTGTCTATTTGGTAAGAATATACCATACATATTTCTAACTTGGTGGATTAGGAGTCTGTTTTGCAGCACAAATGAATAGAGAAAGCTCTTAAGTAATTTCATGGGTTTTTTTGTTTTTCTAGTGAAATAAGTAGGACCAATTTATCAAACAATGAGAAATATCTGGTTTGCACACATCAATAAAACCTGGTTTAGTATTGCAAGACTGAACTGCAATGAACCCTGGGATCAGTTGAAACTTTCTATTTCCACTTTCTAAATTCAGTTATTTAGGGCTTGTCAATTTACAATTCCAATTGTAATTATGCAATGATTTAGCCTAATATCCTAATATTAGCTGAAAAAAATTAATAAAACACATTGAAGATTTTAAAAAGGGACGCAATGGCTCAGTGACAGACGATAAGCTTGTTGATCAAAAGTTCGGCGGTTTGAATCCCTAGCGCCGCATAACATGGTGAGTTGCTTGTCCCAGCTTCTGCCAACCTAGCAGTTCGAAGGATGTAAAAATGCAAGTAGAAAAATAGGAACCACCTTTGTTGGGAAGGTAACAGCGTTCCGTGCACCTTCGGCATTTAGTCATGCCAGTCATGTGACCACAGAGAGATCTTTGGACAGCACTGGCTCTTCAGCTTTGAAACGGAGATGAGTACTGCCCCCTAGAGTCAGGAACGACTAGCACATATGTGTGAGGGGGACCTTTGCCTTATTGATGATTTTGCTTCCATGAAACTAACTACAGATTGTTTAGTCCAACATAGAAACAAAGACCTTGGTTGCTCTATATAATTCCAAAGAAATAACATTTTGAATTATATTTCAATGCAGGCATATGATAAGTGCAAATTGCTTTAAAATCTTACCTTTGTGTTGAAAAAGGCTCTGTGAATCTAATCCTGACTTTAGAAGNGACCCATCCCATTACCTAACAACAAAGATTTGCAAAGTACAAAATGCTCTGAAATAAATTATCTCTTTATTTACAATGTAATTGTTCTCAACTCAGCTTGACTTTACTATTTTATTGGTACAGGTATTATGTCAATAGTGTCACCAGGACCTGTGAGAGATGTCACACAAGCTGCCAGAAATGTTTGGGACCTGCACCTAAAGAATGCTTATCCTGCATGGATAATTTCTTCCTGCTGCACTCTTCTGGCCAATGTGTCTCTTCCTGCCCTGAATATTACTATGCAGATCTTGATACTCAGACTTGTAAACGGTGCCATCCAATTTGTCACACTTGCACAGGTAAGTTTGGGGTCAGAGCCATATAAAGGCTGAAGTCATACTTTATTTTAATTCTTAAAATAATTTCCTTGATAACAATACAAACAGAAAGAACTCTCTCTATTGAATTAGAATGCAGTACAACAATTGATATTTGTTGCCTTGTAGATATCCAAACAAATGAAATCACACACTAATTATTTAGTTAGTGATTAGTCCCAAGTAGTCAATCATCTGTATAATTATTTGTGCATATCTTCAAATGTTTAGCATTCTGAAATTCCTTAAACTGTGGGGTCTTTGGCAGCCTCTGAACTTGGTGGCTTTCTTGCAGACATTTGCATTGATGATGTTACCTAGTTTGGTAATGAAATGTCTGCAAGAAAACCAGCAAGCTCAGAGAACACCTAGGGCCCCACAGTTTAACCCTGGACTATAAATATTTTCTTCTATCAATTCCATAAACCTTTTGTCTTTAGCATCACAGTTTAAATCCACTGCATTATAATCCTAATATTACGATCATTATTTTTAGCATATTCAGAATTGAAATGATCAATGCCATTTGTTGGAGAGATTGAGCCACTGGTTTTCAACCAAAAGATGAATGTTAGGGTCCAGGCTTCCCCAAACTAATGTTTTCCTACTCCAGTGGGACTGCAACCCCCACAAATTTTACATAGTCCAGGTTATCAAACACGTTTGGAGTAGAAGGATTCCACACTTGCAAAGGTCAAAAATTGCTAAATGAAAGGAATTTCCAGTATGAATTAGACAATTTTCTACAAACTGTATTTCTTAATGATGTTATTATTTTTAAGGGAAGGGAGAATTTGAATGCACAACCTGCGTAACAAGTTATCATTTCATAGCTGGATTGTGCAACTCGGTCTGCTTACTTGGAGAGTATCAAGACTCAGAGGTACTTTCTACACAGATTTTTTTTGAATTGCAAACTTGGATTTAATACAATAATATAAACATGAATTTTAGCATTCATTCTGAAACATTATAAAAAGTATTCTACATTCTTTGAATTATTTTCAACTTTCATATTTCTGCTTCTTAATATATAAAATGACAAACTGAGAAATTGAAATTAGATTTAAGAAGAGGTAGAATTTAGCTTCCAAATATTGTTGCAATGTAGCATGAAGATCATTCAACTTTTCTACTTTTATAGGTATCTTTCTCCACCTTTAGCACAAAGTTAATAATAGAAAAGAAGGATGTCTGCATATTTCTACAATAGTTTGAGCAGGCAACATCTTTTAGCTCCTTCTGACAAAATTAATTATGCTATTCCAAACAGATGTAAGTTTCTGGAAAAAAAACAGTGCATCATTGAACAAAATGGCATCGTGTTCCTATTTTCAGGTGTTGGGGTCTTTATTATTAGAAAAACAGAGCAGTTTATACATTTTCATATGTCACTTTGAGAAAAATTGCAGCGTTAGTCAATATTGTAAGACCCCTTTTAAATGGGGAAAATATCCCCCCCCCAAAAAAAAACAGGTAACATTTGATACAGAAATATGTGCTCACACTACTGTGAGTATCCCTGGTGTTAAAAATAGAATTAAGATCCAGGTTTTAGTTTAGTGGTTAAGGCTGGAGACCATAAATTCTAGTCCTGCCTTAGATCTGGGTGTCTTTAGGCCAGTCATTCTCTCTTATCCCAACTTATTTTATTTATATCCTGCCCTCATTATTTTTATAAATAGCTCAAGGTGGCAAATGCATACAATACTCCTTCCACTGCCAATTTTCTCCATGACGACAACCCTGTGACACCTCACAAGGTTGTTGGCATGGAGAAAAATGGCGGTGGAAGGTGTATTGTATGCATTTGCCACCTTGAGCTATTTATAAAAATAATGAAGGCGGGATATAAATAAAATAACGCTTAAGAGTCATAGTTGCACAGACTTTAATAAATAGGTCCTAATATGATAGCTGGTGATGAAGATGATGTTTGCTGTCCTTTTTTCCTACTATAAGGCTGTTTTTAAAAAAATAATAGGAAGGGCTTTATGTACACAAAGATATCCAGTGTTGCATATTTTGGACATCAAGGTTAGCTAGGCTGGGTTTTAACCAGTGGTGGGTTTCAAAAAATTTTAGAACCTCTTCTATAGGTATGGCCTGCTTTGTGGGAGTGGCTTGTGGTCCATGTGACCGGGTGGGAGTGGCTTGCTGGCCATGTGACCAGGGTAGGAGTGGCTTGCCAGCCATGGGACCAGGATGGGAGTGGCTTGCCAGCCATGG